CTAGACTCTAGTCAATTTTATTCAAATGAAAATAAATCTAATCGCTAGACTTACTTTTATGATTTTATATATCTTCAATCCAATAATGGACTGTATTCTTTTCTTTTTTATTAAAAACAATTACAAAATTGCATGTAGGAAATTGTAACTATAAAATACGAAAGGAAAGAAGTTGGTAATAATTATTAAACAGTATAAACAATTTCTTTCCCTTTTTTTAGTTTTAGGTGAATTCATTTTTGTTTCCAAGTATTCCAAATTTAATAACTTACAGCTTAAATGAATAAAGTCAAATTTATTGCAAATCATTACCCTTTGTAAAATTACTTATAAAGAAATATATACTTTGATTTTGTCCACGGAACATATCTAAGAAATATACATTTCTCGATATATACATTTTAACTTACCTAACAATAAGTTCGAAAAATGTATACGTGATACTTTCCTAGCCTAGATAGAATTAAACAGAAAATAATTCAAGAATTTTCTCCATTTATATAAATTTGTGTTGAAAATAATTAATCATTTTCTCGCTGTACGCATAACAATAACACGTACCACATTTATACGTGACACTTTCTGTTCTATGCTTAAATTAAATTAAAAAGAAAAAGAATTTAATAATTTTCTTCATTTATCTGAATTTGTGTATAAAATAATTTCATCATTTTCTTTATCTGCATAGATTTAAGAAAAAAATAATTTAATTATTTTATTCTCCTACACAGAGTTTAAGATAATAATTTTAAATAAATTAAAATAACATTGCATTTGTACGAAAATGTTTCATTTATTGTCTTCCTCAACTTAAAAAGGAAGCAATTGCATCATTTCTTTTATGAAACTCTAAATAGAAAATAATAAATTTATATTTTCTTATTGAAATATTCCTCATTCGATATCTCACAAAATTTTGTTTGAAAATTTCCAATCGCACCTATCATTTTCAAAAACAAGCCATCTGATTGGAACAATCGTATGCAAATATCAAAAAATTCTCACGCTTCCGATGTCTCCTTCCGTATCAAAAGAGCCGCGGCAGACGAGAGTTTTATATGAGGGGGAAACGATGACACCCAACAGGCCGTTTCAGGGCCATAGATGTCGGTTTTATGGCGACTGTTATGGCCTGCGCCGATGAACGGTCGCTACCGGCCCGACTTCAGCGCGATAAAACTTAACCGCATCTTGCTTTATTATTTGCTCCGTTCTCTTTTCTATTTTCTCTTCCAATTTTCGAACTTTTTTTCCCTTCTTATTACTTTGGTATAGATGTCAGAGCGAAAATTTATCTGAGAGAGGTTAAAATAAAATTGGAAGGACCTATCTGATGTTTTTTAGCTTTACTTTTTTTAACTTTCATTTTTTTTCCCCTTCAGCATGAATTCTTTTGGTAGGACAAGAATTTGATATTGGTGTTTTATTGAAGTCAATTTCTTTTGTTATTTCAAATTTCGATTTTTATAACTCACTATTACTAAGCTATATCAAAATTTAGTTAAGGTTTTTAGTGTGTGATTAGGGATTTAGTATAGCTTTTAAAATATTTGTCTAGATATTTGAAAAAAATTTCCGAGGATTCTTAGGTATTTTAAATTTATTTCATATGAACTCCTTTCGTGAATAAGAGAATCAAATATTATTTTTTATTCCAGCCTTCTATTTTCTCATGTTAGCATTTAAAAACTTTCACTTAACTATTGAAAACATGTAAACGTGACTTATTTTTCGTGAAAAATAATGATTAAATAATTTTAAAGCTTTTTCCAATTAGTTATTTCTTGACATCAATCAACTAAAGTTATCACAAAACTGAATATTTTATAATTTGTATTTATTATTTAGAATCACGTGCATTTTTAAAACTTGCATAATCACTTTTTAAATTCGTTATAGCGTTATTATATTAATCAGGAAATCAGAATTGGTATAGCTGTAGAGTTTTTGAAAACTTTTTCAGTGTTTTTAAATTTACATTTTCAAATAACAAATTATATAATAAATTTATAAATATATATTAATAAATAGTTTATCGACACCTCTTTCATTACGTTAATTTCAACATTTTAACTAAAAATAAAATATTTACTTTCAACTTTTACTTTAAGCTGACTGAACGTGGCAAAAAAAATCTTTTCTGCTGCTCATATCACTGTTTTTGTTTTATATTTAAACTTTTTCCTTCCATCCTCTGAACGTGATAGATATGCACTTTTTAATTTCGAATATCTAATTTTTCAACAGTATATTAATTAAAAATAGAAAAAAAATTGCCAGTTACAATTGCTATTTTGTTTCGTACAAATATAAGCTATAAAAACGTAAAGCTCCCTCAATAAATGCAAACAGCATACAAAATAATAATTTTTGTTTTTGCACTTTCTTAATAAAAAAAAAGTAATTTTTCATATTCCTGGATATTGAAACAAAAATATCAACACGGAAAATTTAGGTATCTATTTTCATTTAAAAGAAAACCATCAAAAATAACAAATCAATATAAATATATAAACGAGATGATAAATTAAATTAATAATTGTTTATAAAGTTTTGAAAACAATGAAGCTTAGTCAGTGACTTTTCTCAAAATGTTTATTTAAGTAGAAATAGAGAACAAATGTTTTGTAGAATTAATAATAATAAAAGTCAGTTTAAGTTTTAGATTTATTATTTAAGTTTACAAAATTCTTAAAAATATATTGCCGATAAGTTTTTATGTAAAACGTAATTTTATGTAAAAAATAAAGAAATTCCCACTGCAAATATATTTACAAAAGTTTTTTTGTTTTCGACAAGAGATAATTTTTTTTCTGTAAACAACAACGAGAAGAAAATGCAGCAGTTGAAAATAAATTTAGTAAATTCAGCTTTATATCCACATTGTAATTTAACATAAAAAGTGAATTTAATCTTTTTTTTAATAGCTATTTAACATATATTGTATTGTGATAACTTTCTTTTTTTCATGTTATATTAGAACGTTTTGTTGAGGAACGATTTTTATATAGACTATAAAATCAAATTTTTTTTCAAACATAATATTCTTTTGCGTAATTGAATCCATACTTTGGATATTCATCTAAATATGCGAAAAAAAGCAAAAATTTTATGCATCCTAAAAATTAAATAATAAACTATGAAAAAAAAAGTTAAATTGACAAACTTATATAATAGCTAAAAGGAGAAAAAAAATGTTTTATTAGGTAAAGAGAAAAAAAAAACGAATCATGCTTGAATTATTCAACTTTATCTCTGTCAGAAATTTTCACAAAATGCGCCTAAACAAAGGCAATAAACCAATCAAAATATAGTGTATTAACGATGGCATATCGCTTTAATAATTTATTTCTCTTTCGAAGAAAATTGAACTTTAATTATGCAATTTATTTAACAATTGTTTGTCACTGCAACATATGTACTAGTATTGAATGTTTCCAAAAATTATTCTTAAGATATATACACGACCTATTTATAAGTACATACTGTACTAAATATCGCGTTCACATTATTTAATTAAATTTATTAAGAATATATTTTTTTCAATGCATCCTAAATTCACATCATATTTAATTATACACAAAGGAAAAAAAGTATGGTCAAATGATGTGAGCAAAAAGCACGGTAATTTTTACCGAAACGGTTTGGTAATTATCTTTGCAAAAATTAAGAATAACCCCTAATAATTTATTACCCTGTTGTTTATAAGTTATCCTGTTGTTTATTACCCTTTTAGTATTAATTGTAAAATTTGGTAATTATTTAGTTATTAATGTTTAGGTAGTGTTATGTACTGTTATATTAATTATTATGTTATTAATTATTAATGTTAGTATTAATTGTAATGCCATAGACCATGGCATAAAAACCATTAATTCATTGAAATTTATTTTTTAGTTTCACAGTTTTATTAAATCCATGGTAATAATAACTACAATTTTGAAAACAAGTGCTTCCGGCAAACTGTTACCATATGAACGGAAAAATTACCAAATAACTGGTTTAAATACCGTATAGTTTTTATTACCTCAGTTTTTTCTCCGTATGTACAAAATATTTTCGATGTATTATTGAGTATGCTTTTCAACTAGAAGATACGAAATATATCAATTAAACGGTTGGCATAAATTGCTAATTAGTACAGAGCATTTTAATAACTTGAAGTATTTGAACTAGGATTATGTACACTAGGATTAAGCATTTGTTTTAAATTGTTCAATTTAACCGAAGTACTTTTTTTTATCACTGTGGCGTGAGTTGATTAGTTCTAAATATTTAAAAAAAAATCTTGACAATGTATCATATCTGATCAAAAAATCAGTATTATTTAAGTAATTAACTTCAGTCGAATTATTTTTGACTGATTTTTAAATGAAATAACTTTATAAAATATATTTTCGAGAATGAAAATGTAACTTACTTGCAAAATAAATGTTAGAAAAATGTTCTTGAAGTAATAAAGTAAGTATAATATATTAAATAAGTATAATAATTAAATATAATAATAACATAATAAATAAATATAATAATAATATAATAAATAAATATGGGTTTGATTTTAATTAAAGAATTAGACGGAATTCGATATCATTCTAAATTACTATATACATTAACATGTATATTCTAAATATATATTAAAAAATATTCTTGATAATATGGTTTATTGACAAGTAAGTAAAAAAAATATTATGATTAATGAACTAAAATATTTCTTTATTTATCACAAATGTTATAATCACAGTATTAAATTTTTTTTTGATCGAATAATAACGAGACTTGGACAATTTTCAAATCAGTAAAGTGTACAGCTGAAGAACTACGCGAATGTCTTCAAACCTATTAAATAGCTGAATAACTAAAAAATAACATCATATAATCATTGATTCATAATCACAGCATTTAAGAATTTCTTAATTGAATAATAACCGTTCACATGTAATTTCCAATCACCAAATAAAATTTATAGCTGAATTACTGCAAAAATAAATAAAATTTCCTACACTTGAGGTGTTGCATCAAATTGCCTATTCTCTATCATCCATCAATTTTCCAGTTTCATATCTGTAAAGAAAATAAAAAATTGATGAATAGCATTATCAGATAATGAACAGTTATGAAAGTTTATAACAATGCCTTCGGGTGAACGTCCTGCTCTTAATTGATACTTAAGAGTTGATGATTCTAAACAGTTAACATTTCCTCTCAATAATTTATGTTCACCTGTCAGAGCATATGTTATTAAAGAATGCGTGACTTTTTCTAATACTTTTTAAGTAGCTGTTGAGTAGTGGTACTTAGTATGAAAGCGACCAGTAGCGCATTAATGTTTTATTTTATTTTACTATTAAAGATCTCGTTGGTTTATTCTAATAGAGTTTTTCTTTTCTCTTTGTGGGTTCGTCGGTTATTTAATTCTTAGTTATTATGCAATTAATAGATAATTGCTAATTAGGTATAATTATTGATATAAAAATTTCTATATCAGTTAACAATCTTTTTGAAATAAAATACGTTTGAAATATCGTTTATAATAGTCATTTTTTGGGAGATTTTTCCTTGGCATCATTAATAATCAGTTATTAGTACTCTTTAATCGCCAATTAAATTGCTATTTATCAATTATTGCAAAAAAAAAATTTATACCGGTAAATAAATTTGTTTTAAATAAAACGCCATAAATAGTATTTAATATGGTAATTTTATTAAGAATGGCTTCGTGTGATAAAGCGATAATTGCAGTAGATGGTTCATTTTTTGGATATTTATTAATTATTCGATGGTGAAATTGTTAATTGCCAATGATTATTTATAGATTTTACATCGATAAAGCAAATCAATCGTTGAAATTAAATACTATATAAGTGATTGTTAATGTAATAATTTTGATAAGCTCTTTTGCATGGCTTGGAAGTATTAACCAGTAATTCGATAATGAAATTGTCAATATTTATCTATAAAAATTTTCAATAGATTAATTTTATGACTATTTTGTATGTCTTCGTCGATAAGATGGGAAGTGATGTAAATAATTCAATCTATGCTTATTGTTAATTATTCGACAAAATTGCTAGTTACCAATTGATAAAAAATTTATGTTGTAAAATATTATTTTATTTAAATAAAATACGCGAAACAGTAATAATTAACGTTGTTATTTCTATATGATATTTCGTGTGGCTTTTTATTCTTAATTTTTTAAGCTATTATTAGAAAAGAAATTGTTAATTATCCACATTAAAATTATTTTAAAGCATTTTTCGGTGGCTTCATGTATAATTCAATAATTAATGATACGATTGCGAAATTGTTAATGATCAATGTTCATTGATGGAAAATTCCCACTGCGAAGTATTACACAGGTTGTTCATTTTTCAAATGATCTCACTCCACTTTTTAAATAAATACGTAATACTAATTTATTTTTAAGTAAAAATAAATTATAAAAAATGCCTCCTTAAATTCTTATAAATTATTTGTATTTCTTGCGTGCAGAAATCTTTGAAAACCAGTGTTCAAAGAAAAAAAAACTGTAAAAAATTTTAAGCATTAAAAAGTGATAACCTAACTAGAAAATGGTTCAACTATTTTCAAGGTGAACAGTTCAGATCAATAAGTAAATAAAGTTTTCTTTTTACGACATTAACTTATTAAAAAGTTTTTTTTTTTTGTGGATTAATAGTGATGAATAGATGAGGGTGCAAGAGCTTGAAAATCAGAAAGGTAGCTCAAATGCAATTGAAAATCAAAACGCAGAAATGTGAGATAGGTAACTTTGGAGTTTAATTGCTAGGCAGATCATTGTCCAACATCAAATGTAGTACCAGGGTGTAATAGTAATAATTATTATTGTTTAGAACTCATGTTATACGCTTTCAATTTCGTCAAAATAAATTATGTATTTTGATGTTTTCAAAGTTGTTGAAAGCAATACTGCTAATGTTAAGAAAATGAAGCTTTTTTCTGAAAGCATTGAAATACTTGTTTTTTTCCTCCCCACCCCCTTTTTTTTTTACCCTGTCACGAACTGATGGGTTTTAATCACATTTAAATTGTAGTAAAAATGGCATGCTGCGAATTTCCACTCTTTTTACAGAATTTAAGATAATAAACTAAACCTCTTGAAACCAAATACTTTATTTTCATTTTGGAATTGAATTTCATGCCTGAATAAATTTGCCTTTCAAGAAATATTTTAATATTTTCAGAAAAAGAAATCTACTTAAATGTTGAAAAAATGTCTGCTCAAGTATTTGTCTTTATTATTATTATTTATTCTACTAAACTAAATTTCATAAATTGTTCTGAGAGTTATTGAAATTTGTTTCAATAATGTTTACAATTTTCTGTTAAATAGTTACGATGTAAAAATATGTTAATTATAAGCTATGGGATAAGGTGCATTAAAAATATGTTGCCTTTAAAAGACATTAAATTACTGATTATAAATTGGTTTATTGATAATCAGTAGGATTGAACATGATTTGAAATGTAGAATTAAAATGCATCAATTTTTTATATAGACTTTTTGTATATAAAATTTTATAATTTTACACTATAAATCCGTTGATACTGAATGTATTTCATTCCCTTTCCTATTTTATTCTATATACTTATTATTATAAACAATTAATTTTTATGGTTAATACAATAGTTTTAATTAATATTTAAACTGAATAAGAGCATAATTAATTTCATCACAAAATCATGCTTTTTCTCATCAAAATAAATAAATACAAAAAACGTGCTGAACAATTAGTATACTCTAATTTAGCATCTAATTTTTGTGCTAAACCATAAAAATTAACTCTGCTATTAACACATTTTCCATAAAAGCCGCAAATGTAATGAAGTACCAATTAATATCATTAAGGAGAGCAATTCAAAAAAGGCACTAATTAATATTGCTAATATCCACAATTTTAAAACGTTAATATTTCAATTGACAATCGATTTAAATATTTGTCAATAAATATTTTTCTATACCTTAACATTTCAGTTAACCAGAAGCCAATAAATGTCAGAATTTGATATTTCACGCTTTCATATAATATGTTAATGAAGCCTATAGTAACTTTGAATGTCAACGAACGTCTGCATTTAATTCGATTTATTTATTTTTCGTAAAAATGTTCAGTTATTATATCAATATTCTTAGAATGATATTGTTATGAGTTAATTATTATGAATGTGATAAATCAATTAATAAAATATTTAGAAAGAATTATTTTCACTAAGCTAAACTGCCACGTAAAATAGAAGAAAAAATGTACAAGAAGTATTAATCTGGCATCATTGATTATAAAGAAAAAATAGTTTAATTGCTTTCAAATTTCACGTATTAATTGTTTTAAATTGAGTAATTTTATTTTTTTCTCTTATTAAATTATGTTTTTATTTTGTTAATTTTTTGGATAGTTTTGCATTAATTGTTTTTCAAAATTTTTGTATAAGCTTGCATTGTTTTCTTAAATTTTTGTATTGCTTTGCATTAATTTCTTCATGAAATAATTTCTTCATGAAACTACTTTCTCATCAATTAATTTTAGAATTTAATTAAATATAAAACGAAATTAACAAACTGAGTGATTATTTATGCATTTACGATTGCTCATTTAAAGTATAATATTTATATTCGAGATGTTTAATGCGTAGTTACATAATCAAAACTTGAATTCATTGTAGAATATTTTACTTAATATTCTAAAGTAAATCAGTTAATAATTATTTTTATTATATTTTAGTTATGTAAAGCAAAAAAGAAAAACAGTTTTACTTTATATTTTTTTTAATAACAATAAAATAATTCTGAGTAAAACTTATTTTTAACAGCAACACAACCACATCATATTAATTTATTTATTTTAAACCAGATGAGATTATTAATTATTCACATAAAAAAAACTTATCTATATGCTTTTCCTGGTTTTTCTTTTATTAATCTCTAATTTAACTGATAATAAAAAAAGAAATAAATAATCTGTCAGGAATTCCCCCTCCCCACGCTAAAGAGAAAATCTTTATATCTTAAAGCAAAAGCTGACATATAAATCAGCTACTAGCAGTGGTTGGTTACTTACGAGGGGGGAAAGCAAATGATTCCCGCCTCCTCATAAAGTATTCAGTGACGCCCATAGCAACCATAAGTCTTTTCTTTGACAGGCCCTGCTTGGCAACCATTTTATGATATTGCCTGTGTTAAAAGGTTAGGATGAAGCCACTTTCCGTTATGGGCTGTTTTTCCCTTTATTAAAAAACTATATACCTATTTTATTGATCGTAAAGTTTATACTGTATAGCCTTCGATAGATATGTTACAGCAAAATTGTTGTTTAAAAGCCAAGTATGAATGCTCTAAATATATCACGTGCTTCAAGTTTGATTTCATTTTAAACAATCCAATTTTTGTATAAATAGCTATAATAACATTGACCTATTTGGTATTTGTATTTTATTTGTGTGAAACTAACTCTATTTGAAACCATTAAAAAATAAATAATGATATATTTTATTTGTGTGAAAATAACTCCGTTAGAAACTAAAAAAACAAGACTCATTTATGTCATTTTATGTGTATAAAAATAACTATTAAGAACTGTAAATAGCTCATGTTGCATTTTATTTGTGTAAAAATTACTCTATTAGAGGCTCGTGTGATTAGAAGCATGATTTATTTTACTTGTGTAAAAATGACTCTATTAAAAAATATATAAATCAAATAATGATTTCATTTTGTATAAAAAATAATTGAAACTATAAAATAATTCTAATAATGTATATTACTTGTGCTAAAATAATTTCATAAGGAACTATATATAGTTTCTAATTATTAATTTTATGTATGAAATAAAACTCTATAACGAAGTATAAAACGTAACTAATGATGTATATTATTTGGGAAAAATTAGTCTATTAGAAGCTATACAACATATCTAATGATATATTTTGTGTAAAAAGGAACACCCATACAAACTATATAAATAACTTATGATTCATATTAAGAAACTACAAAACATAATTAATGACGTATTTTGTGTAACAATATCCGATCAGAATTTATTGTTTATTAAGTTCATATGTTTACTGAAATAACTGTTTATTAAGTTCATATATTTACTATTGAAATTATTGTATCTTAAGTTCATACATTTAAATCAATCTTTGTTGAATGTTTTGCTTGAAAGCTATTTAAAGCATGGTATTATTATTGAAGTAAATGAGAAATTTTATTTCTTAATAATTCCTGAATGATCAACAGTGTAATTTCTTATTCTTAAAAAGAATTTTATTAGTGTATAGTATAAATAGATGAATCGTATATTTCTGAAAACAAAAATATGACGTTTCTTATATTTCAATATCTCAAACTAAATTTTATGATCCAAATCATTTTTATCAAATAAAAAATCCTTATTTTTCATGCGGTCTGTAAAAATTATGTTTTGATGTAGGAATTTCATGTTTTACGAATTTTTCAACTGTAAAAAGCATTACAAATTAACTTATTCCGTTTATAACAAAATAAATAATCAGAAGTTTATGAAATTACATCAATTATTTACTATGTTACTAGGAAACAATAGTTAGATGATCAACAGTTATAATAAAAACAAATAGAAGTTCGAGAATAACTGTTTTTATGAATCAGCCATTTCTCAAGCAAAAAAATAAAAAGATTGCTGTCATATGCTTATTATAAATGCCTGAAACACGTTTTAAAAAGCAAATCAAAATATTTTAGTACAAATAATTGGTGTGCATAACTTAAGAGAATTTTTTGGATTTTATCACTATAATTTTAAAAGAAATTACTATGTTACCTTATAGTTCGCTTAAAATTTCATAGGAATTAATTGTAACAATACCTATTCCTGATTTTAGATAAATAATTTTTCTTCCGCTGTCTATTAAATGATAAATACAGGATTAATGATTTTTTATTGTATTAGATTTTTGTTTTGTTTCCAATTTCGCAGAGTTAATTATTTAGTTTAAACATTGCAGTTTTTGAAATAAACTTGTTTTAATCTTATTATTTGGTATATTTAGGTGATATGACAAAAATTGGTTTTAAATTTACTTATTTTATTATTAGTAGTACATTGTAAACTAAAAAATAAGGTTCATTAAATGTCTTATTCTTCAGATGAATATATTATTAGGAGTTAAACCATAACTTAACAATAATTCGCTAAAAACTTTTAAATAAATTTTATTTCATTGTTATAGTTTTGTCTCTTTCATAAAAATAACATTTGCTAAAATCACTTGTTCAAGTTAAGAACAATCTTAAAAACTCCAACTATTATTATAAAAATAATAAAACACCAATTTTGGCACATTAAATTTTTTCACTAGTTATTTATTCCAAATAGATTAAGTTTTAACAGCTAAATTTGTCTTTTTTCAAATAATTTAAAATTACTTTCATCAATTGCATCTATTATTAATATTTGTTTGTTTTAGACTAACAATGTGCTATCTTAAAAAATGCAATATCAATAGCTGTGTAGAACAACAATTTTTAACACATTAAATATTTCCAGTTTTAGAAACAAACAACTTTGTATATTTATCGAATTTTGTTGAATTATTGAATTATTAAATTCAAATTCATCCGTTAGCTGTAATGTATAAGTTTTAATATCGTAAAGTGATGAGACATGAATTAATATCTTAAGGTTTCAGAATTATTAAATAAAATAAAAAATTTTAACATTGGAATTTCACCATTTTTAGCACAAATTGCACGAATTTTTTAAAAAATGTAAACATTTAAACCAAAACGTTCGTTAGTTTTTTCCTGCATTTATTAACATTTTTGCCATAGTTTGTATACCATAACTTTAGATGCAAATTTAGATGCTACTTTTTAATATTATTGGATAATAAATGTAGTTTAAAATTGTGCAATACATTTAAACACAGATAGGTATTATTTTGTCTATTTAAATTTTGTTTATAATTTCAAATGTATAGAGGTTTAGCTTCATATATTGGTTATTAAAAGATAAATAATATTTAACTAAAATGTTTGCTAAAATAAAAAATAATTAATCATTTTTTTTAAAGTAAAGTTGAACAAATAATAATATTGACACTTGCGAATGAAGTGTGTATTTAACTAACATCTTAATTCTTATATGGTTAAAATTGTTAAAGTGTTGCTTCTTAACACAAAACATCAATGTTTCACTTTTTAACTCTGTCCACATTTTTGTGAAAATTATAATTAAAGAATTTGTCATATTAAAAAACTGATTGCTAAATTTTAATTTCTAAAATTTTTTGAATTAATTAATTTTACATTTTGATTCCTCTAAAATATTCTAACAAAAATATTGTCAGTAAAGCATAGTGGGCAGTAAAGTAAAAGACTTGCCAAAAATAAAAAGTACAAAAGATAAACATATTGTCGGTGCAAAATGTCAGCAAAGCGACCCAGATTGTCAGTAATGCATATTCAGGTGTAAAAAAATTTTCAAAGTTTTTTTTTCCATCAAATTTTGTATCAAAATTGTTAATAAATATCATTCTTTTCTTACATTGCTGCTTTGTTTCTACATAGTTATATCAATATCAAAATATTGTTTTGCATAAATGGAAGTTTTAACGAATATCTAAGCAAATCAACGTCTACAAATTTTTATTTTCCGTAACTTATTATTTTTTATTTAACTCATTGATATCTTCACAAATCATAACTTAAACTTGTATTTTTATAAATTACTATAATTTAAATTTTGTCAGTTTTTACGAATAACATTTTGAACACATTCCTCGATTTTATTTAAGTATTTCAGAGTAGATTATTATATGATTATGAACTTTCCGATATTAAATTATGTAATATTAGCATACAACATGGCCTGTTTTACTATCGGAAATTTTGAATCATACATAACTCCCAATTTGAACATAGAATGGAATAATACCCAATGGAATAATACGTCGAAAGAAAAAGATATAAGAAAGGTGTAACAGTGTAACAATCTTCGTATACACTAAAAATATGGTAAATACATATTATATCTGTGAAATATATTACAGTAAAGACACTATGTATACAAACGTTAACCATTATTTTATAAGAATGAAGCTATAAATCAATTTTTGAAAAGTTTAATAAAATACAAATTATTTTTAGTCAGCACATTCACATAATTTATAATAATAACGCAATTTATTTTGAAATATCAACAGTTAAAAGTTAGTAATATTTATATAGGAACAAATTTTAGATTTTTCAAGATTTCGTCTTTATAAGATTATGATATTTGATATGATTTGATTATGATATGATCAGAATAATATACTAGTTATAATTTAGTGCAATTCATATTTAAATATAACTTAGGGTGATTCATATTTAAGTATAATTCATTACATTTTATTTTTAAGTATTCGATACAAATTATGTTTCAGTGGAATATTGTACAGTTATTTTAATGTCTAATCAAGAAGGGTATATTTTTAATTCATTTGCATCTCAAAATTTGCAGAAAAACTATTAACTTTCTCTTCTATAAATTGCGGGCAAGGAAGATTTACACGAGATTATTTGTAATGGCTTCTTATTGTTTAATATGTATTTAATATAAATTATTATTAATGACAATTGCAATTTAACAAAAATTTGAGTGTCGAACTTAAATTAATAAATAAAATTAACAGCATATTTTCGTGTCGAAAGATATTTGAACATGATATAACTTCCTTTTTTGCACAATCGAATGGTAGAAAAAATATTCACAAGCATATTATAATTCTGAATTTGTCTAATTTTACATTAATTTAACTTGTACTTGTCTGAAGTTTGTGAAAAATAATGGATAAATTGGTAGAGGAATTAATGAATTTCGCAAACTGTATAAAGTATGGTAATTTTTTCACGTAGTTTAAATATATTTCGCTTTAGGAAATCTCAATATTACTCCTTTAATGACTCAATATTACTCCGCTCATTTTTCCTTATGTTTTCCTTTTTCTTTTTTACAATTTCTTTATCATGAATGTTATATTTCTGCAATTGTTCAAACGAACATTTTTCTTGGTTTATTTTTAGTAAATTACGTGTTAAAACAACTGAATAAATAAATACATGCTAAGTTTAATTAACTTTTATTCATGCCAATTTAATGTCCTTTTTTAATGTCATAATAAAAATTAATACATAATAAAAACAATATGTCATTGCATATTTTTGAGAAACGTAATGGTAAATGCATTGTGATACATATTAAATGATTTACTACCTAGTATGCTAGTCAAGATAATTTTTATTCTGCTGTATTAATATATCGCACTTAAAATTAAAAAAGACGAAGAAAGTAATTGATTTTCTAATTAAACAGTATGTTTTACAGCGAAAAACAATCTATATCAAATTGATATTTAGTTTCATAATAATAATATCAACATCGATTATAAAATTAATGATAAATGATATAAAATTAATGACAAATGATAACAGTTTACAACATGGATCTAGATAACTGATAGTTAATTTTAGAGACAATTAGCCTAGGGAATGCTAGGCATCAAGTAAAAAAAAAATTTGGTTTAATAATACATTAAAAATGAGCATTTTGCCAATACAATTCAATATTATGTCATGTATTTAACATTTTAAATATTCAAAGTATGAATTTTCATAATGATTTTTTAAAACATTCTGTCGGCAAAAACTTTTCACAGAAATTAATTCAATCAACAAATTTACTTATTTTGATTTCACTAAGCAAATACAAATATAAAATTAATTCATGTATAGAAATTATAAGTGCTAATGTGTTTATGCAAGAATATTACTTACAATTCATATTTTCATTAAGTTAGCTTCAGCTCTGCCTTTTCTTCATGCTGTTTTTAACATTTTCCAAAACTCTTCGTATTCTAAAAATTAATAATCCATTTTAATATTTCAATCTTATAGTAATAAAAAAATGCATTATTTACATTATAAAGTCAATAAATATTTGTACATAAAAGTTATTTTGAACATTATGAAAAGTTCAAAATAGAAAAATCCGGAAGTCATGTATTTTTTTATTTTATTTTTTCAACTCTTTTCTTTCACCTTATTCAAAAAAATTTTACATTTATTCATGGTTATACGACAGGTCTTTTTTGTCTATATTACAAGTTTTACTGTAAAATTGAAAAATAAAAATTTTATATATTTTAATGTGTAAAATACTCTGCCTTTGTGATTTTTGCTAATATTATAAGTAATATTTATGGTATTTTTGTGCTCAGTTTATTTATATTTCCAGCTTAATAATAAAAATAACTGTGGTTTTTTTTTTTGCAACATTTAATTTTTATTAAAATTATTAAATTATTATTTATCTAAAGCTATTCAACCTTTTTTTTTCTTTTTAATTTCACTTTAGTTTAAAACATTAATTTAGTGTGAGCTTTTTATGTAATCATTGCATTAAGATTGGCGGAAGAATTACAATCTTATCTTGCTATCTGCATTTGCGAAAGAGCATTTATAAATGCAACAACTGAGTTTACAATAAAAAAATTAATAACTGGACAAAAAGATGCATATTTACTTTTTAAAAATGTAAAATAGTTGAATTCTTTCTTACACAATCTTGTGGGTTGTTTCATTTATACAAGTCATAGAGTTCTGGAATTTCAAGCAATATTAAAAATACATATAATTAATATACATATTAAATAACATACATACTTCAAATAACTTAAATTATATTTTTCAAGAACCCTTATTTCATAAAAGAAATAATTTATACTTCAAATAAATAAATTTTAATTTAAATAATATACCTGAATTAAAAGTATAATATCAAAATTATTATTTTATTAGTCGTATATAAATTATATTCCCAAACAGAGTTCGAAATTGAAATAATATTCAATATTATGCTATATTTGCTATAAAAAGCAAGCGTTTCTTGGGACACTTTTTCGGTAGATTAATTTTACTATTGCTTGTAATTAACTAGTGAGGGATGGCATAATTATGCTTTGTCTTCTCTTCGCTAAAAATGGAATGAAAGGCAGATATCTGCTCTATGGGATTATGTTTTAAACCCATTTAAGGGCACTGCATTTTCACTTTTACTTACTATTAAGAATCAACTGTTTTATTATTTTTTTAAATGCTATTATTTATAATTTTAAAAAATCTACTCGATATTTTAACTTTCAAACGTACAAGAAGAATATTAAAAAAAAAGTTTTAGGGGTACGAGTCTAAAATGTTTTTATGAAATTTATTTTAGGATAAAATAAAAATATAAACGAAAACAATTCATTTTCATAACATTTTTCATAACATGTCACATTTTTTAAATCTTTTCCATTTCATGTCTATTATTACTCTTTCATGTCTATTATTACTTATTACCCTTTCATGTTTATTGTAATTTATCCTAGTTGACTGATTAAAAAATGACAATGGAACAGATAAAAATTTCTTTTCGTAAATTAACAGGCATTAATTACTTGTTTTCCGTTTATAGCGCGAATACACGCTTAAATAGCAAATTTGAGCAAAATGCAATTGATTGCATATAATCAATTACATTTTGCACAAGTTTAATTACAAGTAACCATTATTCATGATTACAATTGTAGTCTTGATTATAAATAAACGTAATTTTTGAATATAATTGTAATCATAGTTATTAATAGTTGTCAGTTACAATAAGAATTGATTAATAACAAGTAGACAATTACATTTTTATTTAATTCACAAAATCACCAATAAATATTTTAAAACAAAGAATATCTCATATAAAGCTGAGAAGATTATACATTTTTTGACTTGGTATATTTTTTCGTCATTAACAAAACTAAGTTAAATAAATAGTAACACTAAATCAAGCAGTTTAGTTTACTTTGATATACATTATTATGATAAATAAGGATGTACCAGGTACCCGTCAATCACCCAGTACACTAATTTATATTCGGCGTAGCCATATTCGGAGTTACTTTAAAACTATTAAAAAATAGCTGCTGTTTGGAAAATCCATGTATTTCATCAGTTTTTTAATAATCAAGATAAAGTAATTAGTTTAGACTTGACATATTTTACTATTGTGCAGAATTTCAATTCTGGGAAAATGGAATAGAAACTTTGGAATGGAAAAATATGGTCATAAAAGAGAAGTTCCTGATTGGGAAAATCCAGAAATTAAGGCAAATTAAGAAATCTTATGCTGAAAATTATTTTTAAAAAAATTAAAATAAAAGTAAAATAAAAGGAAAATTAAAACTGGAATAAGGATTTACATTGATATTTATTTTAAGTTAATAAAATCACAATGAAATCATAAAAGCCTTGGGTAACTGCAGTAAAATACAATGTGTGTATTACTCTATCTCTGGGGGGGGGGGCAACCTGCGGCTTGCGAGCCACATGCAGCTCTTTGAAGGATTACTTGTGGCTCTCGATAAATGTACCCTGGTTCCCATTTCATTTTTGTGCTATTATATTTTAAAAAATTATTATTGTTCCGTGTGTGCTTCAAAGTGTCTTTTAAGTAACTGACAACAAATATGAGAGACTAAGTGATACATTGTAACAAATTTAATTTCCATCCAAGTTAAGAATAATATGACTCATCCGAAACTGAGCGAATGAACATAAATTATATATTTTCAATAAATATAATTTCTGTAAAAAAAAAGTTTTAATATCTTTTTTGCATACCTTTTAAATACGCATTTAATTGCAGCTCGCGAAAAATTTCAAATTTTGAAAAAGGGCTCTAGCTTGGCACCCCCTCTCTATCTCATACTAAGTTTGTTTTTCGTCAGATGAGTAAATGCAATAATATGATTTTATTATAGAGGTTTGTAGGCTTAACAATTTACAGAAATATAAAACAGTTGCAAACGGTATTCTCTTACAAATGATACATTAATTATTCTAAAACTTAACTAACTATTCTAATACTGACTTAAACATTGGAAATTAATTTTCGAATAGAATACCTATCCGATTGTTTTAACAAAAAATATAAATAAGTAGTTTTTCGATTACAAATTTTGAAAAAAAAAACTATTAATTTTTACATATATCAACAAATACCTCATTTGGAAACCTTTTATTTCATTTTCAAAACATTTATGTTGAAATGAATCATGCATAAATATAATTACTCAGGTTTAAATTTTAGATAGAAAGCTTGTTTCCTTCGCTCTTGCTCAATATATTCAATATCCAACCAGTCTAGTTAAAGTTCCTTTACCGTCGGGCTAACCCAAAGAGATTTCCGTGATTTTTTTTTCTCCGTGTAACGTAAATATAAGTAAGTTTCACAGAATAAGTTTTTCATGATGACAAATTTGCTCCTTATTTGCTGCTTAAATCATCTGTGGTCACCTCTCTTTTATATAGTGGACGCTACAAGATTAAGGCTCGGACGGTGTAATGATAGCCTGTAGGGTCCGTGGAGAGGGAGATAAGAAATGATAGGTTTTTGAAGAATTAGAATGCTGGAAGACTTAAATGAATCTTCAGTTTAACATTGTTCATAAAATAAAATCTAAAAGTTTAGGAAACTCTGTAAAGGTAAGGATAATTGCACGTAAATTACGTTACAGTTATAGGACGATAAAAAAAAACTGATCCTTGAGAGTTAAAACATTTTTCATTTAATATATTGTCATTTTGTTGAAATATTTCTAAAATATCATACGTTTAGCAGAAGTTACATTATACTATTCACAATTTAAATAAATCAAATGAAGAATTAATTTATTATTAAGTCCACTATTAGTTGATGTCTTTACTTAGTAAAGCCTAAGTCTACTTCTTAGTAAAGAAGTTTTACGCTAATCATTCTACATCCGAGCAGCAATCTCTAAATTATTTTAAAGACTCTGCTTTTAAATTTAGTTTAAAAAATAAATTTTTTACTTATATAGGCAAGTAAGAAATTTCCTTTAAACTACAATTCTAAATATTTGTTCTATAGAAAATTATATTGTTTGTATAGAAAATTATATAGAAAGTTATATAGTAAATTGTATAGTATAATTATATGGTACCCCGGATATTTGAAACCAACTGGGTAATAAATTCAAATTTTACCGGGTACTTAGAACCGGCTGGATAACTAGCAAAAATTTTTATCAGGTACCCGGCCCCGACGAAGTGTTTGGACTCTAATAGATACATCTCTGATAGAAAGTTAATAGTTTTACAGAAACTATTAGAAACTGTAATAAGAAACTATTACAGATTCTAATAGTTTCTGTAAAATGTGCTGTATGAATTTAAATGTGCTGTAACTTTATTATTATTTTAATTTATAAAATGATAAAGAAATAAGTAACATTATATTTTACCTCAATAACAAACAAAATTAAAAAGAGAGTTTACTGTATATGATTTTATTGTTGGTAAGATAATATTTAGAAAAAAAATTTAAACTCCTTTTGATTAGAACCAATAAACAAATTACTGCTTAAGTACATCATTTATGACAACAACCAAAAGCTGCTATAATCTTATCCATTATTTTCAAAATAAGCTCCTTAAAACCTAAAAGATTAAGACTATAAATATTTTGTTCTGAATTCATACTGTGAAACAGTGCTTTCCTTTGTTTCTAAAGAGAAATATATAAAAATGGTTTGCGATAGTGTGATTTTCAGATAGTTCTTGTTTTATATTATTTATAGTCCTTATTTCAAATAACAGAAAATATATTGATTTCTACCGAAAAATAATTTCCCAAAGCACGATACGTTTAAAGAGGCAATTAATCAATTGCTTTAAAGTCGGATAAATAGCTAATGTTCCATTCCCGTTATATATTTAATATTTAAACCGTCAATAAATTAAACAATTGAAATGAATTTATTCATTTTCCTAGTTATTACGAGTTGTGTAATTATAATTAGTTCGCGTTCATAAATTAATGATACACAATTGAAAAAGTACCCTAAATTAATGACAATTTATTAACAGTCTCTAATTTAATTAGTTCTGAGATTGGAATTGTTCTCGTTCATTCCAATTGAATGCGAAGAACTGTACGCAATTGGAAGTTTTGGCATTTTTCGTATCTCTTTTGTTCTTACCTTACTCCTCTTGATTTTGTTCACATTCTTTTGTGTTGTAAAACTTAATGCCTATCATTGATTGCCATCTGGCAGTGTCCCCAAGAAGACGTTGAAGCTGTTGACCCAATTCAGCGCCAAAAAAGAAAAGAGAGAATGTTTCTGGCGACAGACCGCTCTTTGACGAAAGATCCAACTTTTACAATAGCCGGGCCCCAAACAGAACTGTCGCCAACTCGAAATTCCTGCAAGAGTAAAAAGACGCCAGAATTAGATTGAAATCACTACTCTGTCTTTTCGCCTCAAGATTTCTTCAGGACTAGTTTTCTTTTTTTCTTTTTTTTCTGCTTTTCTTCTGAAGCATTCTTTTGTACTGTAAAAACAGGGAGAAAAAAAAGAATTAGAAAGGAGGAAAGAAAAAAAACGTTAAATGAAACAAGAAAAGAACTTTTTTTTTGCTTCGGAGTTTTATAAAAAGTTTCCTAATCAAATTATCTTACGCTTGATTGTCGAATAAAAAATTAATTAATAAAAATGTTGCTGCTTCATGCGAGGAAATTTTTTGCTTTAATTAAATTTTTCTTTAATCTATTACAGTAATTGCCATTTGCTTGTAAGAAAAAAACCTTGTAAAAAATATAATGTACGGCAGCTCTGTTTCTAGTAATTAGCGATTTTTAAACTAATTACATTCCTTCTTTTAAAAATGTGAATTGCACAATTTAATTAAATAACTTTTTTAATCAAGAATTCCTCTGAAGCAAATTGAAGTTCTAGAAATTGAGATTCTTTTTTCTCTCCTAAATCCAAAAAATAAAACTTAACCTAATTTAAAGTTTGATTATATTATTAATAATATTGGAAAACGAAGTACAACGCTATTATTTTATTTTGACAAATTATGAAAAGAGACTTTTTCATTTATTTTAAAACAAGCATTGTTTTGAAATCATCGAAAATGCAAAACTTGGTTGTAATCCAATAGCGATTTTAAACGATTACAATTAACAAAAATGCATTACACCAATGCATAACTAACAAGTGTCTAAAGTAACTTTTGGCAATATTTTTTTTAAAAATTGCTTCATAATAAAACCTTAGAACAATTATTAAGGAGGTGATCAATTAAGTAAGAAACCTTAAGATGTTCACTCATGAAAAAAGAATGTATTGACAAAAATAAATAGATTAATGAATACAAACAAAATACCCTTTGTTCTCAAATATCAAAGTAGACAAAATATCTTTTTAATAACAAAATTATTATTAATAATCTGTCCTCACAGAAAAAAGGTTCAAATTAACTAACAGAGTTGTAAATAAAAAATAAACATGACAAACTAGTTGATGGGACAATCAAACGAATTTCATAAAATTATTATAATAATCTTTAAATGAAAGAATAATGTATAAATAAAAGAAAAGATTAACTGTCAATGCATCATCCATCCGGTAAACTGATGTGGTAAACTCCATCTGGTAAACGATTATTTTTAACCTGTGATGACTTGCGAACTGATCAGGTAAAGCATCGTGTCCACAAACTTTTTCCTAAAAGTGTCCATAATTTTCAAACCAAACTATTCTGAGCTGCGATATTTCCTATAAAAGAAAAGTATTATCAGAGTACGATATATTTTTAATTTGACGTTGTATGATTTGAAATTATTATTTTTTAAAAAAAATAACTACTTGACATTTTTTTATGTGAGCTCTAATTTTTATAATGGTTCGAATCAGAAAAGTTAAGCCATTCAATTGAAAATGCAGTAATAATTTGACTATTTTTAAAACTAGGCTGATTCACTTTTTTATCATGCAGAAAAATTTTACAAATAGTTTCTATTATTTATTTGGAATTTCCAGATAGTTATAAAAAAACGCAAGAAACTTGCGATAAACTTTTTTATCATTTGCAAGAAAAAAAAATGAGATAAATGAATGCTTTTAATGAGATAAATGTATAAATAATTCAGTACTTCTCAATTTGATAGATTAATAATACAACTAATCAGTATAAGTTTTTCTTACAAAAGTTGAAACGCAATTTAAATACAGTGTCTAGCATTATAAACTTAAAAATTTAAGCACAATTGATCGGAACACAGTAAAAAATTTATAACTGTCCATAGTTTTCCCGTGTTCTTAATTATATAAAAATTCCATCACCTTACTTAACCGCAATGTAATAAGTTCCAGATTAAATTACAATAAAAAGTACGGCCACTATGAATGTAGCATCCGTAAAATTAATTTTTAACGTAAAACTTTATACCGTAATTTTATCAGAAACATTCATTTCATTACAGTTATTGTACGGTAAAATATTACTGAAAAATTATGGTTTACCAAATTTTTTGTTCCATGAAACTTTACGGTAAATATGTATTTTACGGTGAAAAGCAATGTCACCCTGAGTGCCCACACTTATTAAATTTTTACAGTGCATTACGCAATTATGAAAATTATGAAAATCATAAAATTTAGCACTTTAAACAGACAGCACTTCAATCATTTAACTGACGGCAATAAAAAGTAATTAAAAAATTTAGTGCAAAGTTGCATCAAAGTGCAAAGCTGTAAATGTCCGAAATATTTGTATATCCAATTCGATATTAATTTATTCGTTGATATTATTAGATTTATTCGATATTTTAATATCTGCCGAAGATAGATTAGGAGAAACATTAGTGTTCGGATTACCGGTTAAATACGTACTGGGCAGTGGCACTTGACCTTAAAAAATGTTTTATGTAGGGCATACTGGGCAAATGTATACCGGGCAGTGGCGACCTAAGCGACTATGTGATTGTCAACATTCCCAGGTGGAAGTCAGCAACTACCAATTTCGGTCATTCACAGTAACATATACATAATTACAGATCATTTCATCTTCTTGCTTCAAATATTTCTCTTAAATGCCAGCTTCAAATGACGGGAAATAATATTCTCGAATAGTTTGAGAAACATCATCACTCGATATTTCTCGAACTATAATCAAGAATACCAGTTCAACTATCATCACTCGAGATGAAAACGGATGAGTAAATTCTTGTAAATGTGACGAGAAAGAAATAAACGAATAAGAAAAGTAAATAAATGATATATAAAGAGTATATAAATTGAAAATTACAGATTCGTATAGTAATTTAATAAGAACAATGTAGAACTAATGACAGGGGAAAGTAATAAATTAAGAAGTCCATGGAAGATGCGGCAATAAAAGTTCGATATTTTCACTGTCACGCTCAATGATTCACTCTTAGTAGTCGCTATAGCATACCATTTCCTGCATTTGCAAAGACACAGAATTGCATTTAACGCCAATGTATTTTTTAAAGCTTATTAAATGACAATTTATGATTATAAATTTCACACATTCTCATCACGTTTCACACACATCCCGCCATTAGGTACAATTTTCAGTTGGCGATCGGAAGTCATTTACACTTCAGTTTAACGCCAACAGTCCCAAACTCGTAAAATATTCAACGCCCCCTTTTTTTTCGACGCAAAAAGTTATAAATGGATCGCCAAAAAGATTTTTAATCGAAAGGTAGTAACCGTAGTCGGCTGTGACTAAAGATGGTCACACTTCTCAACCCTATTATTATTTCGGCACCTTCAGGTATCGAATGGGTTCCGTTTTCCACCTGTTTTGCAACAATGTCGCCAAGATGGCTAATTCTGAGTTATGATTCTTGGGGGGTAATTTTATGCTCCTCGAACATCTGTGCCCGATTAGTATGTGAGGAACGTGCAGATATACCATCAAAGAGTTCCGCGCCGGAAAAGGTACTTGTGCTCTTGACTTCGCCGAAATTGATTTCGTAGAAATGTTTTATTTTCAATCAACTATCATCACTCGAGATAAGAAGGTTCAATAAATAAAAGTTGCTATTGCACTGAGTAGAATGATAATCGTGTAATTAAAGTTTTATTGTGGAGGAAAGTTTAGCTTGTGAAGATGCCATATGCTGTAGTTGTTAGAAATTTTAATTTATCCTAGAATCGATTATAAGGCATATTCATTTATCTAAATCTCTTAGAACGCAATCTGAAAAAGATGCTTGTAGTTTCATTTGAATACTCTGTAAGACAAAATTTATTATAACTGATATTCAAATTTTAATAATAATTGCCTTTTTTTTTCAGCATTTTTCGTATTTTTTTAGCATTTTCGGATTTTTTTGCACTTATAGGAAATTTTTTTGCATTTTAATATATCTTTGGGCTCTTTTTTATTATTTTTTAAGACATTATTTGAGTATATTTCCTTTTTTAATTTTAGGGCTTTTTTTTTAAGTGCTCAGAAGTATTAGCTCATTCTTATAACTTTCACACATTTTAACTGAGTTTTACTATTTAATCCATTACAGTTTTTCTGAAAAGCTGACCATTGTCCACCGTTGAAAGGAACTATTAATAGGGACAGTAAACAGAAATAGCTTCTGAAGATTTTGGGTGTGCTAGAGAGGAAACAAAGACAAAAGAATTGCAATTGAAGATATAACGTTGTAACGGAATTGAAGATATTATTAGTGCAAATATGCACCTATAATATCCGTAGATATTGAAAGAAGCTTTTCCAGATATAAAAATTTACTTTCGAACAAAAGACATTCTTTACCATTTAAAAATATCAAAAAGCATTTAATAATCCAAAGAATTCTAATTTCACTTCACAGAATTCAGGTTTTGAAGTGTAAATCACTGTAGATACATAAAAAAACAGTTTTCTTTTCATTAGTCTTTTATTATTTTTTCATGTAACATTAGTTTCAAACTTAAATAAAAAAAACATCTCAATGTTTCCTGATTTAATGTCATTATATGTTATGAGAAATTTTTGAAGAAATGAATTTTTGTTTAATTAAAAAGAATTCTTAAGGGCATTTTGTGATGCTTTTAGGGAAATATTTTCCTATTCTCGAGGGCATTTTCACGGATTTTTTTAGGTCATCAATGTACGGGCAGAAACTTTTAATAATAATGAAACATATTAATTTTTAAATGATAGGGATTGTTCAAATAATACATAAGCACCAAGTATGCATAATAGTACAAGGTAAAAGGAAGGGGTGATTGCCTTATATTTGGGACAAATGGGAGAGTACGAGCAACGCGTTCCTAAAACCCAGAAATCACTTTATTTTCAATTTTTTTTAAATGAAAAAAATAAATAAATAAAAAATACAACACTGTAGCAAAACTGTATCAAAATTCGAGGAAGTAACTCATAGAAAAATTTCAAATTTGAAATTTAAGTTAAATTTGGGAAAAGGAAAAGTTAGAAGAAAATTTTTCTTCGAGGAGTTTCAGAATTTTATAAAATAAATTAAAGTGTAAGTTTTGCTTCATGCGGATTAACATTTATTTATTTGAATTTAACTCTAAATTTCAAATAATTGGATTAAAGCAGTCAATAAAGGGGGGAGGGGGGATTTATGTGATGTGATTTTTTACGTTAGCATAGGAGAGGGTTTGTAGTTTGCCTATTTTCGACTGCCTATTTTTGCCTATTTAAAACAGTCCAAAATTGCCAATAACATGCATACATAATATTTGAATGGCCTCATATAAACCTATAGTATCACCCCACATATCTAAATTCTGGCAATCCGAGATTAGTCATAACTTGTACTTTCCCAAAATTGAAAATGAATTGAGAAATTTTTATAAAACTATCCATTACTTATACGAAACTGTAACTACTTGGTCAATAATAAAATAGAAAGACAAACATAGATTGTAATTGAAATGTAGATCGCGGAGTGGAAAATCGGCTATAAAATAAATCACAATATCTCGAGTTCAAATGTATAAATTCGAAAATCATGTAAGGCGTGATATAGTTTATGTCTGAAAAGATTTGCTCCTCACTCTTAAATCCAAAATATTATCATTCAACTGTGACATGAATATGAATCGCGATAAAGCATCACGAAAAGTATGGACTACGTGTATGTTTGATGCAATGTGATGCAATGTCAGAAAGTGATAAATACACGATTCGCTTCCATGTGGGTAACGATATAGTATCGAAAGCAAAAACTTATAGCTGAATTACCTCAGAATCGCGATGTAACATAAGTGGAAGACACAATTTTCACGATTTTGGGATTGGTCAAAACTTGCGTGCAGATCAATCTAATCGAAATTTCAGCTAATCCGAACTGGTTCCGGTGAATTATCTAGGTAATATATAATTAGTGTGTTGTTGATCCAACAGTATTGAGCAGCTTTTAATGGTTGATTGATCATTATAGTTGTGAAACAAAATCTTCCATTGTGAAATATAAAAATTTTGTTGGCCCTTGTAAACCAAACGTTTCTTGATGGTCAACCTTAATAATATTAAAGCAATATTGTCTAGCGTGAAATGATGGAAATTTTTTGGCATATCAAAAACCATGAACATTTGATGTATCGTTGAATGAGGGATTATTGAATGATGGATCATTGAATGATGGATCATTGAATCGCATCTAGAATCGCATTAAAACCAACATAAGAACATAAGTAACCAAAAATAACTTTCTAATAGTACTAATTTAATTTAATTTGGGCTTTAATGTTATTGCTTACGTCAACAATTACAT